CCAAGTTTACAGTAGGTCACGAATAGTGAACAAAATTACAAGACCTTGGTATTCAGAGAGAATATTAAGCCAGTCTCTATCCTGTGGGTTGTCTTTGCTATTTGTTTTTTGTGAATTCAAAGAGTCTAATCCCGATTTTGTGAGGAGGGGACCTCTATTTATAGCTATTGAGTTCAAGGTAATGATTACAAGTCTGCAAGTGGGTAGGTGCCATGCAAATCCTTCCTTGCGTCCCATTGGTTGGTAACTTATGAAATATCTTTATGTTATATAGGGGTTGGACAAGTGTACGAACCAAATTCATTCATAGACATAACTTGAATCAGTTGGGTTGGTGACAGCTATATTCTTCCTGTCTTGGGGTGATGTGGTAGATTATGGGCGACACAAAGTCTTACTCAACTCTGATTGGTGCTCGCTGATGTAAGCTTGTGTCAGCCCTAATTTTTTAGGCATAACAATTTAAATATCATGCTGTAATACAATTAAAATAATTTTTTAAAGTAAAAGATAGTTTAATGAAGAGAGAAGTTTTGCTATGGAATATATCCGGTTAGAAGTAATATAAAATTATATGTTTTTAATTACCTTTTTTTTTTTTTTAATTCAAGTTATATTTTATCGTTTTTTGGTAACATATAAATGTATTATTTTTCTTCAAAACATTGGTAATTATTCTAATATCAATAGTTGTATGTGCTGTTTAACTGCATTCTTTTTTGGTCACATATAAATGTATTAGTTTTACTAGCTTGCACATTCAATTGGTTGCATACTTACTTCATCAACTCTAGGATGTTGATAGAGTGGAATTTATATATTTTTTATTCCTTCCATATTATGTCTTTTGTTATGTTTTATGCCTAGTTGAGCTGATTAGAGTTTATTTTGTAAGTTTGGCATATTTGGATAGATTTTAGGAAATAATTGAGAAAAGATTAGGAAATTCCAGATTTTCCAGATTTTTAGTTATTCTGACCAATGCTTCGTTTTTCAGGTTTTTCAGGGAGCCAGATTCCTCGATTGCAAAAGTGTTCTTCAAAGAAATTAAAGTAGACGAATCAAGATTTTTCAGGAAGGTATTATGGGCAAGAATCTGAGTTCGTTTGGGTTCTCAGTAGTTGTTGCAAAACCGGACTTGGAATCCTAGTCGCAGAAGGATTCCTTAGCTGAGTATTGAATCTTCGAATGGGCCTAACTGGAGCGTTAGATATCGAAAACGGGTGATTCAAAAGCCCAGATTCATCTACACATCTGGGACTACAATTTTTATGAAGTGACCAAGCCCAGAAAAGATCTTTTACATTGCGAGAATCCTAGTGCAAACTGGAGACGAATTCTGTTTTCCATATCTGATAAGATTTTGACAAATCTGGAAGTCTATCTTCTAGGAAACATCTAGGAAAGAAATTCTATGATTCCTGGGAAGAATTAAGGAAAACACATGTTATTTAATTAGAAGTTTTTAGGTTAAACGGGGGGAGGACAATAGAGTTTTATTTTTCAGAGTTTTTGCTTTCTAGGTCAAGATGTGCTGCTAATCTTTCTCTTTCCGTTCAAGGGGATTTTGAAGTCTAATTTCATGTCATTGGTGTAACTTAACTTCAGTAACGTTGTTCTCAATCTCGTTTTTATTAGAATTGTTTATGTTATTCTGATTTAATTGTCTGTGATTCTTGTTTGAGTGATTTAGTTTTGGCCTGCTAAATTGTTTAATCAGAATTTACCTGTTAGAATTAGGAATTGTGATACATAATCGTCCTTTTTCTATTCAATGAGTGACGCATGATGATAGCTGATTATGGACAAGTTTTCGGTCTATTGTCTTGAATAACATAACCTAAGTTAAATAATCCGAGCTTGCGTGATTGTTGCTTAGATTGATCTATTCTCCTAATTCTTAAGGCTGCCATTGAATTAAATTTAGAGAGTTTGTTCTAGGTTGTTCAAGGGTTAGTATCTACTCAAAGAGCTTGTTTCAGTAGTGACAAACTAAGGGAGAATTCGGGTAACAGAGCTTGTTGTTTCCTAGGGTCAGTAGTTCCATAATGACGAGATAGAACAGTGTTACAGTTACTTTACGTCCAATGCATGTTTAGGTGGATATTGAACCGAGAACTGATTGTTTAAACTGACATTTTATTTTTCTGTTTTACTTTAGTTTGCATTGATTACAAACCCCTTTTCATTACTGTTGTCAGGTTTACTGTTTAGAGTTTAATTAGAGTTTCTGTTGTTTTTATTATTTTAGAATATAGAAATTAATCGAGTCATTCCCTGTGGGATCGACCTTTGCTTGCCCTTTATACAATTCAGTAGTTAGGTTAGTAAGGTTAATTAATTTGGTGCATTCGGCACGCTACCAGATGTCTAATCTAATTCAATGTGTAGCCAACCACTAGATCAAGTCTCTGTTGAAGAAGAAGACCAAGACCTTTATTTGCCAATAATAACAAGAAATTCATAAAATTATTTAGAATAAAAGAATTTGCATTCTCTCCTAGTACAAAAAGGAGGTTAATATCCATCAATAAAATGGAGCAATAACGATAGCAAAAATATTTTCTCAATACATTTGAAGAGAAAAACTTCCCTTCCATGCTAGTACCCAATAAGAGACCACAACCATGCTGTGATTAGAGTCATGAAAGTAACTCTATTTTGATGATAAAAAGACTCTTTGTGTAATTAAATTGAAGTTATATTAAGACAATTAAAGAAAATTTGGAATTATTAATGGAAAATCACATTTTAATTTTTCCTTACAATTTGTGCATGTTTGGAATGATTTTTGAGATGGTGTGAGTCAATATTAGGGTGTGGTTGATTTATTAGGTCTGAATTTGTCTCATTTATTCTGTTCAGGGGGTAAATTGTCATATTTTTTGGGGTTAATTTTGTCAGTTTTCATTCACATAGGGACTGCTATAAATTTGCTAAACATAGTACAATAAAACCTCTCTATAGTGATACTCTAAATAGAAATAACTTCCATGTAGTCATAAAAACTTCGGTCCCAACTTGGACTAGTTATAAATAAGAATAAATTTTACATTGTAATAAGTTATAATTTTTCTAGGTCTTGTCTTGAGGAACTTGCCTCTACATGGTAATAATTATATGAATATTGCAAAAAATATATTCTATGTTACATTAAAGGTTTAAGATGAAATAACATATTTATCTAAAGTTATTTGAGACAATGATTTATGCTTTAACATTGTTACTACATCTTTTATCTTGCGGATACATAATAAGCCATCAGTATGGACACCTTCTTGTTGAAGCTAAAATATTTCTGGCTTTCAAGCATGTTTAGAGCTTCTTGGCATGAAATTTTTGGTATTTCTGTACTATCATCCTCAAGATTATCTCCTTTCTTCTTGTTTAATTCTAATAATGATTTATTTTTCAGTTAAAACATACATGACTAGTTGCTCATTTAAATTATTGAGGAAGACATTGATATCCATTTGATCAGTGTAGTGAAGTTGTCAAATCTGATCACTCAATTTTACAGTGACTCTTTGATATCCATTTCTGTGCTATCCTAATGCTACTAAACAATGAATTGAAATCCTAATATAACTACTAAAACATGAATTATAAAATAAGAAATCAAAACAATAATTCTTGTAACTACACCTCTATTAAATTATAATCTTCTTATAGTAATAAATTTAATTGGTCTCAATATTATGACTATAGAGAGGTTCTACTGTATAAAACAACATGAATAGTTTCGGATCAAGAGCACCACTCACCCCCAAACCACAGCTCCACCACCGGTGACCCTTCCCCTCCCATTTTCGACGACTCCACAACTTTCCTGTGCACAAAATTTCTGAGCAGTCCCTGTATGAATGAAAAATGACAAAATCAACCCCCAAAAATATGATAATTTACTCCCCCCTAAACAGAATAAATGAGGCAAATTCAGACCTAATAAATAAATCACATCCTAATATCGACTCACAACATCTCAAAAATCATTCCAAACATGTACAAATTGTAAGAAAAAATTGAAATGTGATTTTTCATTAATAATTCCAAAATTTCTTCAATTGTCTCAATGTAACTTCAATTTAATTACACCAATGATTTTTTTTATCAGTAAAATTTCTTCACTTTCATGACTCTAACATGTGCCACACGCAGTCTTTATTGAAATTTGTTTTTATTTTGCTCTAGTTTTTTTGAAAATGACCACAGATAAAGGTCTTGGTCTTCTTCTTCCACAAAGACTTAATCCCGGGGTTGATACGCGACACAAATTAGAATTGACAGCATAGAATTAATGAAGTCAAATAAATAAGACCCCCCAATGTTGGCTATAATGTTGGGAAGTGAAATGAAAATAGATGATTAATTTAGTTGTCTTGCCACTTGCCATAGAATGCTTGGTCAAGTAAAAGATGTTAATGTTTTACAGCACTGCAAAGGAAAAAGAATCAACAAATTGGACTCCACCAAGGACAGGGATCAAAAAGTTGCAGGGTCTTATTATTACTTGAAGTTTGAAACAATAACGGGGCTAGTTTTAATTTATTCAGTTCCGTCTGTGTTATTTAATTCTACTTTCAGGAGGTAACATTAGATTAACTAGAGTTTCGAATTTATTTGTAAGTGCTAGCTCTGCAAACTTTAATACTGGAACCATAAGGATGATATGTTGCAGACAGATTACGAGATCCTTTCCCCGGTGAAAGAATTAGCAAAATATTTCATGGAATGAGCTTTCAGGCCCTCCATTAATATTGGAACCATAAGGATGATATATTGCAGACAGATTATTCACATTTGGTTATGACTTGAATATTTTATAATGTAAGAATTGGAAGATATATCCGTGACGTCTCGGATCTGACTCATGCAAGCGACGTAATCTGTTCCTCGATCAAAGTCCACACATTGACTCATAAATCATAACTGTGTCAACTGTTTTGAGTGAACTTGCACACGCATTTTCGGGACCCGCACACACACATATATAAATTTTCTCCAAAATAAACTCATCAAAATATGATCTGAGTTCATTAATGGCTCCAAAAAGAGTTATGCTTGCAGTGTTCTTTGTCATCTACTCTTTAAAATTCTTCCCAGCAAAATCAGAAACTTGGGTTAAAGGTGGTTACTGGTATTCACGCAGCGCGCTCCCGGGTTTACGCATAAATTCTGCTCTGTATACACACCTTCATTGTGCTTTTGCTGATGTAAATTCAACCTCTTATGAACTCTATTTATCAGAGTCTGATGAGAAAAAGTTCTCCAGTTTCACAGATACTGTGAAACAGAAGAACCCATCAGTCGTGACTCTTCTATCAATTGGGGGTGGAGATGCAAACTATTCAACTTTTTCTTCAATGATGAGTAATTCATCTTTCAGAAAATCTTTCATTGATTCTTCAATAAGAACGGCCAGGCTTTATGGCTTCCAGGGCCTGGAACTTGGTTGGGCTTCCGCAAAATCTAGCTCTGATGATATGTACAACATGGGAGTTCTCTTTGAAGAGTGGCGAGCCACTATCAAGTTGGAGACAGGAAACTCTAGCCATGCACAACTTATATTGACTGCAGCTGTTCGCTTTCAACCAGGTTTAGATTCAAGAAGCTTCCCTGTAGAAGCGATGGAACGGTACTTGGATTGGGTTACTGTTCAGGCTTTTGACTACTACACGCCTCAGCGGTATAATTTCACTTCCGCTCACGCTGCTTTGTATGATCCAACTAGTAATGTTAGTACTGATTATGGTATAAGCGCTTGGATTAGCAGAGGACTTTCTGCTAATAAGATGGTTTTGGGTTTGCCTTTCTATGGTTACGCGTGGACGCTTGCAAACCCCGCGGAAAATGGTATTGGTGCCCCAGCAACTGGACCAGCCCTTAGAACAGGTGGAGCCATAAGCTATAAGGAAATCAGGGATTATGTTCTGGAATATGGGGCTAATGTTAAGTACAACGCAACTCATGTGGTGAACTACTGCACCGTCGGGTCAACTTGGATTTGTTTTGATGATGTTGAGGTTGTCAGAATTAAGGTTGCTTATGCCAAGGAGAAGAAGCTATGACATTATTTATTCATCAGATGACTAGATTTTTTGATAAAGCGAAGATATAAGTATAGGTATGACAATGGCATAGTTGTTAGATCAGTTATATTGACACATGACCATTTATAAAAATAACAGAACACCAAGTTTTATACGTTGAAAAATTGATTGACAATGAGTTGAATGAAGATTTTTATGGGAACTCTAGGTAACATAAGTAAAATATTTTTGCAGCTCAAGAGGGTAATAACGATGGAAGAAATAAGCGGCCGTTATCAGCAATTGTGCTGTCTACAAGTGCAGCTGCTATTCTCCTTTTGGGCTGCTTTTTGATATATTACTTCTGGATAAGGAAGCTCAAATCACAAGGTGACTTCTCCAGTTATAATTCCTCTTATGATAAAGAGATGAATGATCATCTAATTTTTACTGCCATGTTTATTTGGGTCAGCTAATGAAGGATCAAAGAAGAGAATAAATGACCCATCTGCAGCTGGGGATTTTAACAGCAATGCTCCTAATCTGATAACTTATAATTTTTATGACATTGAAGCCGCTACAGACAGATTTTCTTTTGAAAATAAGCTTGGGCAAGGAGGATATGGTCCTGTTTACAAGGTATATTCAAATAGAACATTCATTCTATTGCAATTTGGTCTTCCTAGCTGATTGTAGAACATAAATTTCTTTTGTTTGTCAGGCTTTGCTACCCAATGGACAGGAAGTAGCAGTGAAGAAACTTTCAAAAACATCCACACAAGGATATGAGGAGTTCAGGAATGAGGTTATGCTTACAGCAAAGCTCCAACATGTAAATCTTGTTCGACTTTTGGGATTTTGTACTGACAGAGAAGAACAGATGTTGATCTACGAGTACATGCCAAACAAAAGCTTGGACTACTACCTCTTTGGTACTGTGAATTCTTTGGTGTAATATTTTGCATTCCTTTGCATTTTTTGCCTTGATTTTTGACAATTTTATTTGATGTAGATCCTATTAGACGATGTATTTTGGATTGGAGAAAACGTGTACATATCATTGAAGGGATTACTCAAGGGCTTCTATATCTTCAAGAATACTCAAGATTGACTATCATTCATAGGGACTTGAAAGCTAGTAATATTTTATTAGATGAAGATATGAAGCCTAAAATATCAGATTTTGGTATGGCTAGAATATTTGCAAAAGATGAACTTGAAGTAAACACTGAACGAGTTGTTGGAACCTAGTAAGTGCATATATTTCCTTCTAATGGTATATATATAGTATCTCATATACTCAACCTTGATTGTCCATTGTAGTGGGTACATTCCTCCTGAATATGTTAAAAGAGGCATATATTCTACGAAATCCGATGTGTACAGTTTCGAGGTTCTACTTCTACAAATTATAAGTGGAAACAGGGTTTCTTTATTCTATGGCCTCGAAGAAAACTTAAGCCTACTAGATTATGTAAGTTTCTTCATAACCATTATTATTTACTAAGGATGGTAGTTTGTTAAAATTTTGGACTTTGAATTGAATGAAAATTGGTATTTGATCATTTCAGGCATATGAGCTCTGGAAAGATGGCAAAGGCACAGACTTTATGGATCCATCACTAGATGATATGAATTCCTCTTGTAAATTAATAAAGTGCTTGCAAATAGCTTTGTTATGTGTCCAAGAAAACCCAAATGACAGACCATCCATGTTGGAAGTTTTTTCTATGCTTAAAAATGAAACCTTCGAGGTAATGAGCCCGAAGAAGCCGGCTTTCTCAATACAAGCTGATGGAGACAAAGAAACTATATTCACATTCAATGATACAACCATTTCAGAAGTTTCAGGTAGATGATTGCAGCAAATGTGATGACCAATGTGTGTTATATCCTCACAAAGAACACATAGGATTTATATTGTCACAAGTTTCTTAGCCTCCATATTTGTTTATATTATCAGTACTTTCTCAGCTGGCACATAAGGGAAAACTATGACTTATCTATTAATCAGATGACTGGATTTTCTTGTCAAATGAAGATATGAGCATACTATGATGTGAATTAATTATCATTTATCAAAGAGAAGGGATGGTGTTAAACAATTAATTTGGTTAATGATACATAGTTCACAGGCGGGGGGACTCCAATAAATGCTTGACAGGTATGAATGGATGACTATAACAGAGTTAAAATAGGGAAATATTTTTTTCAGCTCAAGAGGAAAATAAGAATGGAAGAAATAAGCGGCAGTTATTAGCAACTGTTTTGTCTACAGCCGCAACTGCTATTCTGCTTCTAGGCGCTTTTTGATATATCATTTCTGGCTCAAATCAAAATACTTATCATAAAGTGACGAACGATTATCTAATTTTATTGCCAAATGATGTTTCTTTGATAGGGACGTCGGATTCGACTTATAGAGGATCAAAATACAGAATAAATAATTTATGCAAAGTAATTCTACGCATCCTATATCTTTATATAACATTTCTCCTATAATATTATGTGATAAAATATAATTGATTGATTTTAAATTAAAATTATATTTTCACCCAATCGCCTTTTATCATAAAATGTTATATGAAAAATGTTGTATGAAAATATTGTATGTATAATATTATTTATTTATGCACATCTGGTAGAAAATGTGCGTAAATTTTGTAGGAAAACAACTTTTCCAAGGGCAATATGTCACTGGTAAACTTATTAATATAGTAGGAAAAACCATTTTTCCTAGAAATATTTTTGCCCTTGGAAATAAATACATTATCGTTGGAAAACTGACACGTTCAACTTGATTTTATTATTATATATTGTATATTTTTAGATATATGTTTAAAGGAAATATAACATATTTTTTACGCAACTAAAATTTTCAATAATGCAATAAAAATTAAGAAATAGCGTAACAACACCACGTCNAAGTTGAAATGATTAGTTTGGCCTCGGTATCTTGTTATAAACACGGCCTAATTGAATCAAATGACAGTGTAGATGCAGAAGGGCAGATAGAAAATAGTAAAATGGAAAGCATTCAACTCTTTCTACAATGGTGGGTAGTTCATCTTTCATTAATTCTTTAATAAGAACTGCCAGGCTCTACGGCTTCCAGGGTGATCTCTGTTGGGTTTCCGCAAACTCAAGCTCTGATATGCATCTTAAAATTACAAGCACTTTTAAAGAAGTTTTAGGTTCTTTTAAAGAACCAAACAAGGGATTGGGAGTGAGATTCCTGTTCCCTTGTCCATTCACCTCAAGCTCTGATTTAATGTTAAAGGTTACGCAGTTAGTTATGTAATGGTAGGTATAATACAATGAATAATTGAATTTAATAAGAGACCTGGATGCTGTTTAATTTATGAAATTATCAGGATTATTCACATTTGGTGGATAGACTTTGACTTGAATATTTTATAATGTAAGTTGTAGGAATATATATCCATGACGTCTGGGATGTGACTCATGCAAAGGACACCTGGCTGAAATCTGTGGTGTTATAGATCTTTTCAGATTATAAAGAACTAAACTAATGAATAAAAAAATAACATAAATTTGTCAATTCAATTGTTCAAACAAGAGGGTTAGTCTTTTGAATTTAATACACGCTTTCCCCTAAATAAATATATAGCAAAATTAAACACTGACATTTGCAGAAAATTGGTGTGAGCCTTGCCCAGTTGTTGCCTCGATCAAAGTCCACACATTGACTCATAATTGTGTCAACTGTTTTGAGTGAACTTGCTTGGTCAGACATTTTCGCGCCTGCGCACACACACGTATGTAAATTTTCTCCTAAATAAACTTACCAGAATATGATTCCAAGTTATATATGTCTATATCTGTGTGTGTAAATTTTCTCCAAAATAAACTCACCAAAAAATGATTCTCAGTTCATTAATGGCTCCAAAAAGAGTTATGCTTGCAGCGTTCTTTTTCATCTTCTCTTTAGAATTCTACTCAGCAAAAACAGAAACTTGGGTTAAAGGTGGTTACTGGTATTCACGCAGCGAGCTCCCGGGTTTAGGCATAAATTCTGCTCTCTATACACACCTTCATTGTGCTTTTGCTGATGTAAATTCAACCTCGTATGAACTCTCTTTATTAGAGTCTGATGAGAAAAAGTTCTCCACTTTCACAGACACTGTGAAACAGAAGAACCCATCAGTCGTGACTCTTCTATCAATTGGGGGTGGAGATGCAAACTATTCAACTTTTTCTTCAATGGTGAGTAATTCATCTTTCAGAAAATCTTTCATTGATTCTTCCATAAAAACAGCAAGGGTTTATGGCTTCCAGGGTCTGGATCTCTGTTGGGGTTCCGCAAACTCAAGCTCTGATATGTATAACATGGGAACTCTCTTCGAAGAGTGGCGAGCTGCTATCGAGTTAGAGGCGGGAAACTCTAGCCAGGCAAAGCTTATATTGACTGCAGCTGTTCGCTTTCAACCAGGTTTAGATTCAAGAAGCTTCCCTGTAGAAGCGATGGAACGCTACTTGGATTGGGCTAATGTTCTGGCTTATGACTACTACACGCCTCAGCGGTATAATTTTACTTCGGCTCAGGCTGCTTTGTATGATCCAACTAGTAATGTTAATACTGATTATGGTATAAGGGCTTGGATTAGCAGAGGACTTTCTGCTAATAAGATGGTTTTGGGTTTGCCTTTCTATGGTTACGCGTGGACGCTTGCAAACCCCGCGGAAAATGGTATTGGTGCCCCAGCAACTGGACCAGCCCTTAGAACAGGTGGAGCCATAAACTATAAGGACATCAGGGATTATGTTCTGGAATATGGGGCTGATGTTAAGTACAACGCAACTTATGTGGTGAACTACTGCACCGTCGGGTCAACTTGGATTTGTTTTGATGATGTTGAGGTTGTCAGAATTAAGGTTGCTTATGCCAAGGAGAAGAAGCTACTTGGTTACATTGCGTGGGAGATCCCCTACGACGATAACTGGATGCTTTCTCAAGCTGCAGGTAAGTGATCAGAACTAAATTCACCAAGAAATCCGTTTCATTATTTCTATCTATAATAATTAAATGGCTTCCCCAATTTTTTAGGTTATCACTAGTTCCATAGCAGGCACATAAAGCAAAACTATGACATTATTTATTCATCAGAAGACTAGATTTTTTGATAGAGCGAAGATATAAGTATAGGTATGACAATGGCATGGTAGTTAGATCAGTTGTATTGACACATGGCCATTTATAAAAATAACAGAGCACCAAGTTTTATACATTGAAAAATTGATTGACAATGAGTTGAATGAAGATTTTTATGGGAACTCTAGGTAACATAAGTAAAATATTTTTTCAGCTCAAGAGGGTAATAACGATGGAAGAAATAAGCGGCGGTTATCAGCAATTGTGCTGTCTACAAGTGCAGCTGCTATTCTGCTTTTGGGCTGCTTTTTAATATATTACTTCTGGATAAGGAAGCTCAAATCAAAAGGTGACTTCTCCAATTATAATGCCTCTTATGATAAAGTGATGAATGATCATCTAATTTTTACTGCCATGTTTATTTGGGTCAGCTAATGAAGGATCAAAGAAGAGAATAAATGACCCATCTGCAGCTGGAGATTTTAACAGCAATGCTCCTAATCTGATAACTTATAATTTTCATGACATTGAAGCCGCTACAGACAGATTTTCTTTTGAAAATAAGCTTGGGGAAGGAGGATATGGTCCTGTTTACAAGGTATATTCTACTAGGACATTTATTCTATTGCAATTTGGTCTTCCTAACTGATTGTGGAACATAAATTTCTTTTGTTTGTCAGGCTTTGCTACCCAATGGACAGGAAGTAGCAGTGAAGAAACTTTCAAAAACATCCACACAAGGATATGAGGAGTTCAGGAATGAGGTTATGCTTACAGCAAAGCTCCAACATGTAAATCTTGTTCGACTTTTGGGATTTTGTACTGACAGAGAAGAACAAATGTTGATCTACGAGTACATGCCAAGCAAAAGCTTGGACTACTACCTCTTTGGTACTGTGAATTCTTTGGTGTATTATTTTGCATTCTTTTGCATTTTTTACCTTGATTTTTGACAATTTTATTTGATGTAGATCCTATTAGACGATATATTTTGGATTGGAGAAAACGTGTACATATTATTGAAGGGATTACTCAAGGGCTTTTATATCTTCAAGAATACTCAAGATTGACTATCATTCATAGGGACTTGAAAGCTAGTAATATTTTATTAGATGAAGATATGAAGCCTAAAATATCAGATTTTGGTATGGTTAGAATATTTGCAAAAGATGAACTTGAAGTAAACACTGAACGAGTTGTTGGAACCTAGTAAGTGCATATATTTCCTTCTAATGGTATATATGTAGTACCTCATATACTCAACCTTGATTGTTTATTGTAGTGGGTACATTCCTCCTGAATATGTTAAAAGAGGCATATACTCTACGAAATCCGATGTGTACAGCTTCGGGGTTCTACTTCTACAAATTATAAGTGGAAACATGGTTTCTTTATTCTATGGCCTCGAAGAAAACTTAAGCCTACTAGATTATGTAAGTTTCTTCATAACCATTATTATTTACTAAGGATGGTAGTTTGTTAAAATTTTGGAATTTGAATTGAATGATAATTGGTATTTGATCATTTCAGGCATATGAGCTCTAGAAAGATGGCAAAGGCACAGACTTTATGGATCCATCACTAGATGATATGAATTCCTCTTGTAAATTAATAAAGTGCTTGCAAATAGCTTTGCTATGTGTCCAAGAAAACCCAAATGACAGACCATCCATGTTGGAAGTTTCTTCTATGCTTAAAAATGAAACCTTCGAGATAATGAGCCCAAAGAACCCGGCTTTCTCAATA